CCACCACTCAATTTGCATTCCATGCAAACTAGAAGCAAGAGTGGTATTATTAAAAAGAAAGCTCTCTTAGCACATGTTCAGGATTTTGGAGGAACTGATATATCATTGGTTGAACCAACAAGTTATAAATCAACAATTAAAGTCCCTATGTGGTTAGCAGCTTTGCAAGAAGAAGTCAATGCATTACATGCTCAAGGAACTTGGAGTCTAGTTCCATTACCTGCCAACAAAAACCTGGTTGGTTGCAAATGGATTTTCAAGATTAAGAAGCACTCTGAAGGGTCCATTGCTAGGCACAAAGCATGGTTAGTTGCTAAGGGTTTCAGTCAAGAACCAAGATTGGATTATAGGGAGACCTTTAGTCCTGTGGTTCAGCCTACCACGGTAAGGTTAGTTCTTGCTCTTGCTGCACATTTTAATTGGCCTCTTAGACAATTAGATGTCAAAAATGCATTTCTGCATGGAATTCTTCAAGAGAATGTATATATGTCTCAACCTCCTGGTTTTGAAGATCCAACTCATCCTCATCTAGTGTGCAAGCTGCATAAGTCTTTGTATGGATTAAAATAGGCTCATTGGGCCTGGAATGAAAGGTTCACTCAGTTTTTTCCTTCTTTGGGATTTTCAAACACATACTCTGATTCATCATTGTTTGTTAAACATGTTGGAAGTGAAATGGTGGTGTTGTTACTCTACGTGGATGATATAATCATTACTTGAAGTGCATCTGATGCAATATCACAGGTTATTAGTGCTCTTACTGCTGAGTTTGATATCAAGGATTTAGGGCCATTACACTATTTCTTGGGCATACAAATTATCAAAATTGCAACTGGTTTGTTTCTGTCACAAGCCAAGTATATTCAAGATTTTTTGGTGAAATCTAAAATGCTTGATGCTAAACCTTGTGATACACCATGCCTCCCTTACAATAGGTTGCTCAAATCCTGGTTTATATAGAAGCATAGTGGGGGCATTACAATACTGAACTTTTACAAGGCCAGATATTGCTTTTTCAGTGCACCAAGTCTGTCAGTTTATGCAGAATCCAATGGTGTCTCATTTCACTGCAGTTAAACGCATTCTACGATATCTCAAGGGAACCATGCAGTTTGGTATATCCTACACTAGGGGAGATTTGCAGTTAAAGGCCTTTAGTGATGCTGATTGGGCAGAGGACCCTAATGATAGAAGGTCAACTACTGGTTTGGTGGTGTTCTTGGGTAACAATCTTATTTCTTGGTCCTCTAAGAAGCAACAAGCTGTTTCTTGATCTTCAACAGAAGTTGAATATCGAGCATTGTCATTCACCTCCGCTGAGTTGGATTGGATCATACAATTATTAGCATTTATGCATATACCATTGCTTAATGTTCTGGTGCTGTTCCGTGACAACCTCTCTGCAATTGCTTTATCCTTTAATCCTGTTCATAATCAAAAGACTAAACACATTGAAATAGATGTGCATTTTGTCAGAGAAAGGGTTTCTCATAAACAACTCTCTGTACAGTTTGTGTCTTCCCATGAGCAATTTGCTAATATTCTTACAAAAGGCTTAAGTGGTCCACTTTTTCGAACTCATTGCTGCAATCTCATGCTTGGTTCTTGATGGGGGATATTAGAGTATAGTGCTTAAGATTGAGACATTTGTCATAATCCTATCATATCAGTTAGTTAGGTTGTTAGCTTTGTAGCTTATAACAACCTATACAAGACTAACCTCATGTAATTACTTACTGATTAAGAAATATACAGATTGTTCTTCTTCTCTTTAACATTCTCTTATCTCTCTCTAAAATTCTCCTCTATTCTTCCTTCAATATACAAGATTACATTGTATGAATGATCAATTGATATAGCTTAACAATTGTGTAGGGGAGCCGAGGTTTAACTGGGATAAGGGTTTTAAGAGTTCAAAACCTTCCGTGTGAGCGTAGCTTAATTAAGAGTGAACCACATAAATCTATAGTGTTGTCTGAATGCATGTAGCTCAATTTCTGTTTACAAACTGCAACCTTAAACATTAAGTCTAGTTTGGCAGCTTGTATAAGAAACCGGATAATATTGATAAGAGTGATGTTACAATTAACACATATTTGTATGATCATTTGTATCATCTCTAATAGAGGTAGGGTCTACCAATACATATGGATTCCATTTCTACTAGAGAGATTATATACAAATGATGATATAAATATGTGGTAAGAGTAACATTTTTGTAATAATAATACAAACCCAATTGTTTGATGCCTTATGTGTAAAATAGTCTCATCTCTATTAGAGAGATTATACGGACCCGAATGCCATAGTTCATATGCCAAATTAGTGCTGAAATAGTCAGTACAGTCCAACGTACCAAACGAGGCTTAGAACTCTCATATATACCCTAGGCTTATTTTGCATGAACTGCTCAATTATGTCGAGCTAATCTGGAAGGATTATCCAATCTCAATCTCAAACTAATTTAAGTCAACACATGGATTTTAAATTTCTCATACATAGCAAAGCACAAAGATTTGTCATTAACCCAAAACTACTTCGGTTTCTTTCCGTTGTTGTGCATTTGAAAATAATCATAATCAAGTTCAACGTGCCCTAGCAAAAACTTACTAGATAAAAGTAAAAAGAAAGAGAAATATAGCTTCCTATGCCTTCCCCGAAAACCAATTTATTATCGTTTTGAAAGAAAAAAAAAAAGTCCCAAATCTCAATGGTCCAAACTTCTAAAAAATTTGGGAGTAATTATAATATAACACCAACCGATCGACCTTCTGGCAAGTATAAAAAAGTTATGTACCATATTGTTTAGCTAGATGAAAGAGAAGCAAAAGCAGAAATGTAAACCTTCTGTCTACCAGAAAAAAAAATATCTTCACGGTCCATTTTTTTCATGGGATACTATTGTAAGAGTATGAGTATGAGTATGAGTTAAACATTAAGAGCAGGATTGTGTAAATCTTTGTATGGAAAGTCTTGTTAATAAGCTTGGAGAAATCCTATTTATTGTAGAATTGTGAGTACTGGAAGTAGTCCAAATTGGCATGGGACTGAACTTAGTGTCACGAGTCTTATTCATTCATATTGTAATATGGGTTACTTGTGTGAGTTCCATAAGGTTTCTAATAGGAGAATATTTGGAACAATACTATATATAAACCTAGCCACTGCTCTTGCAAAGGTCTGATCATATTATTCCGAATACCTAGTGTTTGGAGAGTGCTTGTGCTTTGTTAAAGAGGAGAAGGTTAAATTGTTTATGAAGAAGCTGCACTGGCTTCATCTTCCATCTCTGGTTCTGCAGGTTAGTTAGTGTGCAGGTTTTAATGTTTTTCCTCAGCATGATTAGGATAGGTTCATATCTTGTTCTTTACTTTTGATAATTCAATTGGCTAGCTTGTGTTCTGTGGGATCGAGATATATGTGTGTATATATATGTCTTACAACTATATATAGGCCTCATGAAAATCCCTTATTTAAATTGAAAATGTTTTATATATTGGCTAAACTGTAGCTGCTTGATAGTATATGATCAAGTTAATTTGACAGAGAGATTAATTTCTTTTCTCTCTTTTGCCCTAGGTTAACCTGGGTATATACATAGAAACCTCCCACGAAGTACTTCGTACAGCATGTGTGAAATTTCTAGTATAGAAGTCACACTAACCATAAGATCACTAAGATTGTGCAACCATCACCGGCAAAGAGCGAAGTCAGATTACAATTCTGTGATTTCCTGAAATGAAGACTTTCCTCCTCCCCAGAAATGAGGGAAGTTTTATCCTTGCATAACTCTATCTCTAAACCCTAATTAAACACAAAAGACAGAGCAAACTCAAAGTAGTTATTTCTGAGATTGTGTAACTAATCTATCCCTCTGAAGTATTTGACTGTAGCTAGCCTGCAAAGGTCACTGTGCTTCTTCTTGCACTGCTATGACGATGCCTAAGACGAGTAGTACAATCCTCTAGGTGACCTTTCAAACCCAAAAAGTCGTATTCATATGCTATAAATATATGATAAGAGTAGCATTTATATATCACCAGGACTTTCTTGGGTACTCCTTTTTTGTGTGCTCTGAAGTACCCGGTACTCCAAGAGTTTTAATTGTCAAATTTTTAGTTGAAAATATAAAAATTAAAATCCGACTGTTAAAACAACCGAGAGTTTTTTAATATCTCCTCTCTGAATCATCACAATCATGATTGCTTTGCCAGTAGCCCCATTAAACTTTTCAGGAAAAAGGAAAATAAAAGGAAATTTATTAAAAGCTATAAAAAGATCAGTTGTTGCTTTCTCATATCATCAAACCCTACAGCGTTAAAGTTCTTTTCGAATTAAACCTCAAATATTAGTTTTATTCTTTATTAAACTTGCGAATTGCTTGTGATTTGCTACCCATTTACTGGGAATGGGGTGCAACCTAGCTGATCCAATTGAGAGTTTAGAATGGTGTTTAATAATGAATTTCTTACCCTCCTGATTTATTATTCATACAACTGCTACTTAGTTATAAGCTCATGCTACAACTGCTCTGACAAACCTCAACTATTAGAATTTGTTCTTTACTTAGTTGGAGGCTCACGTTACAAAAGCTCAGACAAACCTAAAATATTAGTGTTTCTTATCTTTATACTCAATATATGTGGGATGATCTGCACCCCTCAATCTTCGTGCCCTACTGCATGCAGTATATGTTTCATTAATTTTAACGGTCATGTGACTCAAAACTTTTGTTGCCTTTGTCTCTACAATATTTCCAAAAGTAGCTTTAATCACTCGTCTCAGCATATACGGTTCTTCAATTTAAACTCTTATAATGATGCAAGAACCCTAGATCTAATTAATTCGCAACTAAGATTTGTACCGCTGTGCAGCAATACTGCTGAAATCAAACAAAAAAAGGACAAAGAAGCAAAAGGAGTAGCAGCAGCAGCAGCAGTGCTGTGGCAAAGCTTAGCAAATAATTTATTAGGTAAGATGACAATTGATCGATAATAGGATAACAAAACAAAACCTAAATATATAGATGAACAAGTAGCTATATAGAAACAACCATTATTTTTGGTAAATTCTATATCTGCTTGTTAAAAAGCACACCACACGCTCCTCTCATAAGATCATCACAACAATTATTTTTGGTTTTTATTGAACTAATTAACTAATTTGATCCCTCATCACTGATTTTGTAACTTCTCTCTCTCTCTCTCTCTAGCTTAAACTTTATTAATTGATTTTGTTCTAATATATAGCTAAAGTACTACTACAAAACAAGTAATAGTAGACTAATTAAATTTGAGGATGCATGTGTTGAAATTGATTCAACCATGAACAAGTCCACAAGATAAAGCCATTAGCAGGATTGCAGCTTCCTTCTCGTCCTGGGGGAAAACTCGTTGAAGAGCGGTAGTGGTGGTGGCGGCAGTGGGGTTTCCTGATGAACTGTTATTCTTCATGCTGATTGTGAAATCCTCAAAACAAAGCTTCTTTGATTTGCCTCGAGATGATGGGGATGAGGACAGTTTATTGTACGGCCTTTTCTTGAAGGGAACAGTAGAACTTACTCTTGATTTATTGGCTTTGGGTTGCACCTTACTACTCTTCATAGATGGTGCGGCAACTGTCAGGGTTGTGCCACTTGCTGCGGCTGCGGCTGCCGCCATCGCACGCCTTGCCTTCCTTTGCCGAATTCCACAAGCGTTACAAAGTGACTGCAAATTAATGATTAATGAGAAAGAACTGAAGCTGATTCCAATTGGAACTGTTGTTAACGATACAATTAACTTTACCTTTTGTAAGTTAACGTTTGATTAAATGCATTTCAAGAAATAAATCAGTTAGAACATAAACTAATTAAATACCTTAGGGCCTCTGGGTCCACTCCTCCAGAGAGGTGTCTTAGTAGTGTTGCAATCGGAGCAAACCCTAATAATTGGGACGTTGTTCATGTTGTTTGATGAATTATTGCTGCAGCTGATCATGTCAGCTCCTAATTGCGATGATGGATGCTGCAGCTTCTGCTCTTCAAATTTGTGTGATGATAACTTCATCGAAATTGGTTTATCATCACTACTAGTAGAACTGCTTGATGTTTGATCAGGGTTCGACATCTTCCGCATCATCCTCATCTTTGAAGACATCCACTTAACTGAACTAGTACTAGTCTCATGATCAGTACCTGGATTCCCATTTCCGACAGCTCCATTCTTGGAAATGCTTAATTTCAAAACAGTACCACTGCCACCTTCATTTTCAATGGCTTGATGATCATGATCGTGTGATCCGCCATGCGGAACAATGTTATGATCAGCCTAAAAAGAAGACAAATAATGATCAAGATAATCAGCCACATACTATAAATATAAGGATGCATGAGATCAGGTACTAATGAAGACAACTAATTAGCTAGGAACCTAAAAGATCCATATATATATATATATATATACATACATATATAACCCTAAATATATATAGTCCCATCATCCTGTTTTTGTATAACGGGATCCTGCTGAGAAGGGGCTCGTATATATGTCACATAAATAAGTGTGCACATGTCATGTGATCATCGCTTAATTAGTACCTCTAGGAGTTGGAATTGAAACTGGTGTGGTTCTCTATAATGATCATCGGATCGTCCTTGGACTTGAGCTGGAGTTAAGAAAAGGGCACTAGAAAGAGAAGAAGAAGAAGAAAAGGAAGCTTGAGGCTCAAGGTTGAAGAGGTGGTGGTATTGAAGATCATGATCTCCATGATGATCTCCACTAAGCTCAAGAGTAAAAGGGGAAGGAGGTGATAGATTATGATAAGGTGGAGGAGCCATCGATGATCAAGATCAAAGAGAGAAAACTATTAAAACTTAAAGCACTCCAGTAAAGGTGGAAGAGCTAACTAGGCCTGAGCTATGGAAGACATAGCAAGTAAATTAAAAGAGAGAGAGAAGCAAAAGGGCCTAAGTTGCAGAGTGGTGTTACTCTTTTAAAGAAGAGATCAGCTATAGCAGGCAGGCCAGGGAATTGGCAAGGCAGGAGAGAGAGAGAGAGAGAGAGAGAGAGAGAGAGAGAGAGAGAGACGTGTGTAGCTGTAAGTATTCACGTGACTTCTAGACACCCAAACAAACAAGGTTTAAAAAGACAAACAAAAAGGAGATGTGTGGAATGCTACTACACAGACCCCATATTGATTTCAAAACCCTATCTGCAAAATTATTTTTCACCCCACAATACGGCCCCCGGTTAGAAGAAAAAAATAATGATAATAATGCATGGTTCCCTGTAGCAATAGCTAGATAGCACTGGAGATTGAACTGTGGCCACACAAAAATTTAGGATGGCATTTCAATCAGTGATACTTCACACCTTCAATGAACCAATGATCATCTCAATTATAACCAACATCATTGGGTTGTACTCTCAAATTAATTGAACCATTGATCCGTGTAAACCATGTACTTCGGTCTGATGCATGCATGCTTATATTTTATATATAGATCTTTTCTAGAGCTCGTGTTGAACACAAATAATTTTGAATTGTGTAGCGCTTTAGTTTTTAATACTTTTCTGAAGTGTTTTAGTCGTTTCAGAAAGTAAACTAGCTAATTTGCGATTTACTACATTACCCTAATTTAACAAGGAAACAACTAACAGGTGGTTGCAGTGGCACAAGTCCTAGTTTTGTATTTTGATCAAATAACTTGTAAACGAATAATGATTACCGCACACATTTTTCACCTTCTACACTCTCTTATTTCTTTTAACTATTTGATTGAACAAAGCTAAAGAGAATCATAACTAAAGAGGGTGCATAAAGTAAAAAAAGTGCAAAAATCAATCTTTATTGTAATTTTGCTGCAGATTTTTTATTTTTTTAATAAACTTCAACTGTTCGAGAAGAGTAATTCAACTGCAAATTAACTTGTGATGTCATGTAAATTAGCCAAGTTCTATCAACCAGTGATGGAAGGCTAATGATCATGAGGATCACTGTACGTATATTATTTTTTTTATTAGCCAGGTTCCTTCGAATAATGGAACGAATGTTAGATCGTTAGGCAGATGGGAAAGATGGGGTTTAGTATTGCCTTGGATGGCAACAAGTCCTCACCTTAGTATTGCCAAAAGACAATCAATGCTTGTGCAGGCGAGGGACAAAATTTGCTCCCAACCCTCTCCCCACACCCTTTCCATATCTTACTTTTTATTTATTTATATTAAATCTTTGATTTCGGTATCTCACCAGAAAAAAAAAAATAATGTCTCCCTAAAGTCATAAGAAAAAATTATTAATGAAAATATGTATGATAATATGCCAAAAAAATTGTGGTAAACAAAATCCAAAAATCATTACAAAGTCCCAAGTTATATATAAAAGCTAGGATATAGTACATGTAGCTTTATGATGTTTAGTATATGTATGCATGTACATATATTCGTGTACACACACACACACACACACAGAGAATGATCGATCGTTTACTGTAATTAAAATGAACCAGTAAAAGTAGCCAAACACCACAAACAAGTAGGCCAAATATCAGGGTTTACATTATTGACCTGCCAACAAATCTGTAGTAACCGGTTGCCAGTTGGAATTGTCCCAATATAGTCAACCCTGAGAACATCACGTGAACAATCTAGAGCAATATGCCAATTACCACTTTGATTTTTTAGAAGCAGTTATCCAATCTCTGTGGCCATCTCACACTATACACAACATACACATGTATACATAACTACATGTGCATCAGTACGTACTCAGCATACGCATTGATACACTTATACACGTATATAAATCTATACATGTTAACTAATGCAGTATTGTCCTGTAACAAAATGAACGTTTGAGTGCATGATGAGTTTGTCAAAAAATTTAGTTTAAATAATCTTGCAGTGGTGATCTATCAAGAAGCGGTAAAAATGAAAGTTTAAATCATGGAATACATTCTGTTGTGAGCTCAAATGAACAGTTAGTACGTATTAACTTAGTAAGTGATAGTATGTCTATTTTGAGGAATGCTAGCTAGGGATACCACACATTTAAACTACATTGGTGTACCATATGTTGTGGCAAATGATGCATACAATATACATCCAATGAGATTTATTAATTGGCGTGACAAGTACACATCACTACCACATCATATGATGCACTAATGTGGTACAAAAATGTGGTCTCCTCCTCAATTGCCAAGTGTTTTTTATTTATACCATTTGATTGAATTATAAATCAAATAATTTACTTTAACAGTGAGGTACGTATTTAGGAAGCATGATTATCTCGACCGTTGAATTCTTGGACATCATGACATGCATGCATGCGTCGAACCAAAAATCATTACGTTTATAAGGTTGTGTCGCTTCATTTGGCATTCATGAGGTCATCGATCGATGAGGTTAAAACTAGACCATTACTCTAATTCTTCCCCACACTTCTCTATCATATTTACGTAAGGGCCTGCATTTAATTGATTAATTTCATTTCACCTAGGAAGCAAAGATATCCCTTCAAACTTTTGAATTTGTCGCTTGGCATAGAAAAGAGAAAAATACACCTGTAACTACGTAACTACGTTCAAATTCCCCCAGAGAGCGTTAATTTTCCGAAGGAGTAAAATGGGTGTTGTCATTCATGTTGATAGATCATCAGTCACTCTTTTAATATATAGTTTCTTATAGTGTTACGTACGTGGGGTTAAGTATCTATAGTTTGTGTTGCTTGAATCTTTTGCAGCGTGTCTTTAAGCATATTGGAGTAAGAAATCGTATCAAGCTATAGTGACAACTCTGGTCTAATTTTGGAAAAATAAAATGGAACTTTAACGAAAAGCTCTCGGTACTGTTCACTTTAACGAAAAACCATATTTTTACACTAAAAGTCAATCCTGATACTATTCACTTTACCCTTTATTTTGTTATTTTCGTTAAAACTTAAAGTTTTCAAGCTCTTTTCATTATTTTTCTCAAAATAAAATCGTCAAACTAGTCATACTGTACAACATCGCTAAATTGTTTGGAATTACATTTAAAATAACAAAAAAGTATTTTAGAACATTAAAAGCGCTTTTGACTATGTTCGACAAACCATGTTGGCAGTATTTCAATGTTTCAAATCTAAGTCATTATAAACCTCTTATATTTCAAAAACGCGTTAAATATCACTAGTTGCTTATCGATGTGAGTGAATAATAGATATTTCCCTTAAAAAAAGATCAAAGGTTAAAGTCATTAGGGATAGGGTTTTTATCTTTGGATTAGATGCTTTAATTATTCAACGCGAAAAAAATACACCAGGATTAGGATATTGTTTGGGTTCTCTTCTTATCAATCCCAACAAAGTTTTGAAAATTAATGCACATGAAAGTTGATGATTGGTTTATTATTTAAGAGTTGATAAACGTGCTCATTCCTATTGGTAACACATCATTTAGTTTGTAAATTTTATCTCTTAGCATTACCCATTTTATATATATGTGCATAAATAACTCATCAAAATTATATAAAATAAAATAAAAATTCGGCACATGCAAATCTAGCTAGCTACGACTAAAACATTTTTTTTTTTTGAACAAGCAATATTTACACTTTGGGAAGAGAGTAGGCTTATCTTCACACGAAAATCAAACCTTACAAATGAACATAAATATCATTAGATCGTAGTACTAAATGGCTAAAAAAAAATATTATCCTTAAAGTAATAAATCATTAGTGTTATTAGCTAAGGGGCATGGCCCCGGAGAGGTGGAGAAACTTAGCCTAAAATAGACTACAAAAATAGTAGGATAAATAAAAACTTAGCCTACTATTTGTTTTCTTGGTCTCGTTGCTTTATGCAAATGGCGTTTTACTGTAGTGGTGGAAAACAATGATGTCTATACACCTTGGTTAGCATTGACGAAGTCAGAAATTTTTTTTATTGAGGGCAACTTCAAATGGTGAAATTAAATTAAAATTTTGATACGATGGTATTAACTTATTGTCAAATAACATGATTTTGGGTAACTGGTATTTAGAACATAAATATTGTAAAACATTAGCCAATGAAAAATTTACATGGCTCAAAAGAGTAAGAGGGTAGGAAAAGTATAGAATGAGAGAGAGTATGTTGAGTGTTTGGATTGAGACTTCATTTCTGAGTATATAGGTAATTTATAATTTAGTTGGAGCATTTTTCATGGCAAAAGAGTTGAGTGGGAGCAGCTACCCCCATTGGGAATATGTTGCCATCACGACCAATCCCTTTCCCTCTAAGACCATCTCCAACCCTTGGTTTAAACCCTAAAAGTTAGACTTTAAACTAACCCAGTGGTTGGGTCTAAAACAAGTTTTGGGTTAAAATTTAAAATTTTGGGAAATATAACCTAGAATTTTGGCTAGGATTAAAAGGCTAGCCTACCTTAATTTTAAATTTTAAATTTTAAAATTTTAAATACATTGAACCCAAAAGATGAGATCGAATATGATAAAATATAATGGTAAAAAAAAAGATATAATGGTCCAAAGTTAAATTCAATGGCTAATAAAATAAAAAAATTATTCAAATCAAAATTCATCCAAAAATTCTATAAATACATATGTTTTTTTTTTTGTCGATCTACAAATATATGTTTCATTGGCTGATTTAGTGAATCTTCAATTTTTATTGAAATTTTAATATTTTTAGGTTTAAATATTCATAAAAATAAATTATGATAATCTACACCTATTCTGTTTTTGAAAAAGTTACCGAAAGTAAAATTTAGCCTAAATTCATTCTTTAATAATCTTGGCTTAAAATTTTAACTCAGAACAATTGAATTAGAAAAACTGTTTCGATTTAGATTTTAACCCCAACCATTGAAAGTTGGTCTAAAAATCAACAATTTAACCTAATAATGCTATCATTTGTAAAAAAAATAGTAGGATAAATAAAAGATAATGATT